TGGTCGGGGCATTCTGGATTTTCACTTCACGAATTGAATTTTACATTTAAAGTTCAGGTTGACGCACACGAGGCAAAGAATACATAATGAAACACGTGATATTTCTTTTAGTTTAAATGTCTAATATATATATATATATATTGCCTCCAAGTTCGTAAAAAATATCTCTGTTACGCGAGATAACACGAGAGGAGCGTAGGAAACCATGATGCGTAACAAACAGTCCGAAAAACGAAAAATATATTGTATTATTCTGATATATTTGTAAAGGATGACGCGAGCGTGTTTTGATACCCTCATCAAACATGGTTTTCGACCAATCTTAGCCGCGTACTATCCCAATTATTTTATCAAAGTATATCAAAAATATATTAGAAATTATAGGAGATCCTCCCTGATATTTTTTTATTGTTGATATACTTTTGATACCTGTAAGTATACATAAAAAGGTCAAAGCTGTATATATATCGTTTTCTACAACTTAACGAAACCTATATTTTTATATATTCTTAGAGAGTGTTGGCATACAAACAGCTGTTCATTGATRTCGTTCTTCTGTTGGGTGTTACTAAGAGCACCGCTGACCAGAAAGCAGACGAGATCATTAGCTTTGAAGCTCAACTCGCGAACGTGAGTGAACTGAATTTTAAAAGTTTTAGCTAGCCGGAATTACTCTCAAATGTTAATGTTTTATGCTTCTTAGATAACTTTAAGTGAAACAGAATGGCGAAAATTTCAATCGTACACTAGAWCTCTTGGACAACTTCAACAACTTGTGCCTGAGGTAAATGGACCTTATTCGTGGTGTGACAATGTTTTCCCAATTCAGTGTGACAAACCTCTAGGGGATTCATTTTCTTTTGTCTTTACTTTTCGAAAAATTCATGAGTATCCCAAAGGATACGAAAAGAATAACGATGATATCCCGACGAGTTTCAAAGCAATAGCTCTTCATTCCCCCAGAGGTTTGTCACGCTGAATTGGGAAAACATTGTCACACCACGAATAAGGTCAATTAGGCTCAGTCTCCAATTCGCAATCACTTTTAGTTTAATACGTCATGTGTTTTGCAAGCATTCAAAACCAGGGCAATGATAGTGTTATTAATAAATGAAGATAATAAGCAGAAAAACGTATTGGTTTTTAGATAAAGATTGTAAGATGTTTTTGGGACTTACCACTCTTTTACGTACGTGATGATCGAGACAATCTTCATAAAAGGGAAATAGGGCAATACACTTCCGCTAATCAGAAAATATAAAGGTACCGACCAACTTATCTGATTGACGCAAGTGTATTGCCCAATTTCCCTGTCGCGAGTTTTGTCTTCATCAGCGCGTAGCAACAAAAAGATCGGCAAACTATTTATTGGTCTTTCGGCCAACCCGCTCTTGTCCATTAGTGATACCCACCCCAAGAAGAGCCGCAAACGCTCGGATTATTTTTGCTTTTCTTGCTAAAGTATCATTTATCTGTTTGAGTCCTTAGAAGGTTCTTCATCGTCTCATCACGTTTTTTATCTTCAACTTAACTTAGGTTAACTGGACTCTTCACTTAAATAAACTGTTTGAGCCATCTACGATCACTGGCAATGAACAAATTGTGTTGCCTTCGATACCGTACCTAAAAAGTGCAATGAAAATCATAGAAAACACGCCAAAGAGGTGGGTTATAAACCATGTTCTTATTTGATAGTTACTTCAATTTCACAAACTTGCGAACTCTGTATCTGCAAGCTGCACGCTTAAATTTGGTTTTTCCCTGCCTTCAATCAAACCTAATCACTTGTTCCTTCATATTTTTGACACGGACAGCACTTATAGAGTGATTTTCAAAAACCCGTGAAACAAAGTGTAATAACTAAGGTGTAATAAATTGTAATACACCGAAAAACACAAAAGAAAAAGTCTTAAAGTGTAATACGCTCAAGTGTATTTCACGGCTTTTTGAAAACCACACTCTGAGATAAACAAATTACATCATGGTAACCATCTCTGCTGGAAATTTCTTTCTTTATTACTGTAGAAAATATTCTTGCCTTTCATCGATATTAACTATGCTTTCATCAATCTATATTTATTGGGTCCTTCATG